AAAGAAATTAATACATTAACTTTGGCCTCTCAATACATTTATGACAATGTAATAAATATGCACAAAAATATAAGTAGTTTCACAACAAGCGGTAAAATTAAAAATTTTGTACATACGACTTGAATATAAATTATTATAGATAACTCAAAAACTATTGCCCAGACATTGATCATTTATATGGGACTACGTGAGAAGCACCAGTTTTCAAATAAAAAAAGAATTAATGAAATCGGTCCACCTATAAAAAAGTTTGAGGTAACACACATAAAAAAAGAACATACAGTCGAATTGAGGACCTCCTCCTTTTTGAAGTCGATAGAAAATAAATGATATTAATTTTGTAAATACTAGGGATATTACAGACACAGGCTAGTAGTACTAGTTACTCGAGTCCACCGAGTCAGTAATTCATTCTTGGGGCGATGTATATATACGCTTTTACAACCAAATCCCAAAATATATACAAAATTTGACCTCCTCAAAGTTCAAAAACGAAACAAAGTTTGTCTAAAAGGGGTTATTATAATATTAAGGAATTTATTGATGATAATAACCCCTAAGAATAAGGTGATCGTATCTAAGCTATTTCTAATTTATGTGTTGTTAACTGTGTAACATAAGTTGTAAGCTATTTTTTTTAATAGTCTGGGTTTCTTGTTGGTTCTTCCCAGGACAGAGGCTTTTTTCCTAACCAGAAGTTTATTAAACAAAAGACTGAATTTCAATTAGTATTATTTATAATCTATATTGAATAAAAAGGTTCTGTTTCTGTTTAGTCCTACCATTATCATAATGCACCCGTTACACAAAAGCGAATTATTTACGAAACTTAGTTATTCAAAGTAGGTACTAAATTATGACATCTGTTCTTACATTGCGTTGCACTTAACTCAGGAAACAGCCAAACGGCAATTACCACGATTGAAACGGTACACAATGAGCAAACATCTTTTAAAAGACTCGACACATATTTTGGCACGTGTCCTATCCGGCGTTCAATTGACGCTAATTAGGAAATAGCGGTGCGCGGCGATGCCGGGCATTGTGATCATCTTTGGCTTTGTGGGATGTTGTGTTACTATATCCAGAAGATGTAGCCTGCTAAACATTGTCATGCACTATTCAAAATTGTTTCACTAATAGTGAAAAGAGTTGGCAAAAATTATTTACTTTCGCGTATTCCCATTTTCATTTTGATAAAACAATAAATAAATCAATTACGTCTCAACTAAAAGAGACATCTTTTCATAATTTAGATTACCCAATTAATACTCATTTATCTCGACCACGTCCTAAATTTGATTAAAAAAAGTTTGTTGAGTCGAAAGTAATGGATGGTGACTTAAAAAATGCATCCCGTATTTTATTCTCAGATGATATCTTGGCTCCTCGTAATGTCGAAAGTCTTGAAAGCCCCCGTCAGAAGCATCCTCCCAAGACAAGCAAGCTCCCAAGACTTCTGTGCAACTTTTACAAATTTCTGAAAAATACACTTTAGAAGCAATTATGTCATTTTCTAATGGCTCTGCTGGCGGCATTGACGGAACTACGCCTCAATATTTTAAAGATCTTGTAAGCGCTTCTGTCGGTGACACCGGCGGAGTACTTCTTAATGACATTACAAAATTATGTAACTTTATGCTTTCTGGTAATGTTAATCCAAATTTCGTTGCATTCTTATATGGGGCAAGATTATGTGCCTACAAAAAAAAAAGATAACGGTATCCGTCCTATTGCCGTTGGTTCCACATTTCGACGCTTAACTTCAAAATGAGCTTGCAGGCACGTACTCTCTAACCTTAGGACAAAATTTCAGGCTACTCAACTAGGCTTTGGCACTAGAGGTGGCTGTGAGGCGGCGGTACATTAAGTGCATACATTTCTAATAAACTCTGATGCAGATGTGCTTGTGAAGGTTGACATTTTTTTTCTTCTATCAAATTATATTAATTCTATCAAAACCATGTTATCGATTCTGCTGTCGGTGTTCAGCAGGGTGACCCACAGGTCCAGCACTTTTCAGTTTGGGAATTCAACCCATTATTTCAAATTTGAAATCCAAGCTGAATGTCTGGTACCTGGATGACGGTACACTGGGAGGTAGAATAGATGACGTCCTCAGCGATCTTACTCATATGTTTCGAAATTTTAAAAAGATTGGTATTGAACCAAATAGCAATAAATGTGAAATATTTTTCCAATAATTTATCTACTTTTCACAGAGACACTTTAATTCAAAATGTCAATCATATTTCTCCAGGAATATAAACTGTTAGTACAGAATCACTGTAACTGCGAGGTGCCCCCTTCTTTTTTGATAGTGTCAAACCTGTTTTAAAAAACAAAATTTGATCAGTTTTTAAATCACGTTGATAAATTGTATAAATTAAACCCCCACATTGCTCTAACTATTTTAAAATATTATCCTCTTGTACCTAGATTTACATACTTACTCCGCGTCCAGTCTGGAAATGTTTCGATATTTTAAAAGATATTGATAAAAATCTTAAAATAGCTATAGAAAAAAATATCTAAATTTAACTTTAAATACAACAGCCTGGACTCAAGCCACTTTACCTATAAAATTTGGTGGTATTGCTGTGAGAAATCTTTCTAGCGTTGAATTGCCTGCTTTCCTTGCTTCCATGCATAGTGTCAGTGACTTATGTAACATAATTTTGAATAATAAAGTAGACCTGTGCTTTGCTACGTAGGCAGGGCAGACATGGCGAACGCTCTGTCTCGGCGAAAATCTTCCACTGGAAGTTAACCAACAAAAACAGTGGGATATTCCGTTGGTACAGGACGTGTAGAAAGATTTGTTTCATAATTTCCATAGTAACCAAGATCAGGCACGCCTTCTAGCTATTTCGACTAAGGAATCTAGTCACTGGTTACACGCTTTACTATCAAGTAATCTCGGCATATTACTTGATGGGGAAAGCTTGCGCATCGTCGTAGGAATCCGACTAGGAGCGGCGATTTGTCAACCCCATCAGTGCCCCCGTGGTAGCAGCGTCGACAAGCTTGGGCTCCACGGATTTTCATGTAAAAAAGTGCTGGTAGGTTTTTACGGCACGGTTCTATGAAAGATGTCATCCAAAGGGCTCTTGTCTCTAAAAATGTTCCCTTAGTTTTAGAGCCTTGTGGAATATTTAGAGACGATGGCAAGAGACCCGACGGTATGACATTGGTCACTTGGGAGAGAGGTAAAGCCCTAGTGTGCGATTGCTTAGACTTGACTAGACACTTTATCTCAGGGGCCTCTAATCTCAGGGGCACCTCGTGTAGAACCAGAGCGGCATTAGAGTCAGCTGAACTGAATAAGTGGCGCAAATATGAGTCTCTAAGAGATTACTACATATTTGTGCCATTTTCTGTAGAGACTATCGGTCCGTGGGTCCACGTGCGGTGAAGTTCCTTAAGGAACTCCATTTGCGGTTGGTCGTTGCTGCTGGGGATAAGAGGGCTGGTTATTTTCTCGCTCAAAGGCTAAGTATAGCCATTTTGGTACGATACCGCGGGGAATAGGACTGTATTATAATTAAGTTACTAGTTTTAGTTTTTTTTTTATGTATTAATTCATTACAAGTGCAAAATAGCAACACTTTGTCCTCTCAACTTTGAAACATAGTTGTAAGTGTAAAATGTAGGTTGAAAAGAAACCAATTGAAATTATTATTGTTAGGTCTAAGTTGAAATTGTCCGGCGGCGCGTACAACGTAGGTAATGTAACACAAGACCAGAGTACAAACTCGGGTGATTGTACATAAGAGCGAGCGTTTTCCATGCATGCCGAACTTCCCTATGTATGTTTAAATCTAGCATGCACGCAGCTTTTGTAGATGCACATGTAATTCCTGCGCACACTCTCCGATATGCATCCTACAGAATACCGGGAGGCTGGCTACTCTGCGCTACTCTCCAGCACAATTTTTTTTATTTTTATAAAAAAAAAAAGTGGATTATCATTATGTATATTTTTATATTTTTTGTGTAACAGAATCTTTTACTATTATTAACTAGCTGGTACGTGGTAGAGCCATGCTGCAGCTATATTAGTTGTCTAGTTATAACACGAATGGGTCGGCTCGACCGGGGAAGGAGCACGCTCTCACAGAATACCAGCGTAAAATAGCAGCTTAACACTGCTGTCTTTCGTATGGTGAGTGTAGCGAACTGAAGACCCTTTTTACTGGAAAAGAGGTATTCCTTCTTAACCACACGAGTGACAACGCATCTACATTTTGATTCGCAAACGAGGATAGATGTAGATGTCTATTGGCCCCAGTAACCACTTACCATCAGGTGGACTGTGTGCTCGTTTGTCACCCCGTATCCTATACAAAATACTCGGTGCGTTGCTGCCGCAGAAGGAATAAATGTGGATATATCGTTTTAAATTTGGAAGAGTTAGCAATCATAATACATTCATAGAAATTGAATGATATATAAAATTTTTGGTACGATACGTAAACGCAAGCAATAAGTTGAAAAAGTTTTACCGCAATCTGATGAACGGTACGACAGCGCATTATATGTAAATAATTTACAAGATCATAATCCAGAATATTATGTTCCTTTTTCGCTATGAAATATCCTTACAGCTGAAACCGGCCAACTTCTTCTTTTTTCTGAGGATAGGCTAAAGCATTACCAGGTGTTTCGCACCATTTCGATTCTGTTCTTACCGTTAAAGTATCGCCATCCGCCAAATGGAATGTATGATGGATTTTCTAATACCTTCACCTTACGGCGGTGTCAACATGCATAATTTTAATAAAATCACAAAAATTGCACTAAAATGCTTTTTAGATTTAACTTTTACGTTTTGTGAATTATATGAACTGGAAGAATTAAAATAACAAAGAAAATAATTAAGTATGTAGTTAAATTAATTAATTAAACCAATTTAAGTAAATGTATATTTAAAAATAAAACATATTTATGTTTATTTTAATTATAATAATTATTTCCGTAAAATTAATGCTAATTTTACATTAATGTGTAGTTACATTCTTCTTCTTTTTAGTTTTTTTAACTTTGTTTCCGCTCCAGAAACGCATAAATTCTCTCCCCGAACCCTGTTGGTCTAGCTTGTCTATGGTGCCTGAATAGCGCAATTTCTCAGTACCAAGAACCACAAGTGGTTTTCTGTATTTCTCATCTCCGTCTAAGATTTCTTCGTCAGTGTTAACAGAAGGTATTGTAGTTGCTGCTTCGTCAAAACGCAAATGTTTTCGAACGGTTGGTTCTATCTTCTCTGAATGTATATCACAGCGCGTTATAACTTTAGCGGAATCAATCTTATGCGAACCAGTACTTTGAGGTTCATATATAGTACTTAACAATTCCTTTTCGTCATCAACTTCTAACTCTAAACTTGTACTAACATTATTTAGAAGTTTAGAGCTTTTATTTACTGGATCAGACTGTATAGAATCGGATCGCGATTCCTTCATAAACTTTAAAATATTCAACTCATCGGTGTGTTTTCGCTTTATTGTATTTTTGTCTTTTTTTAATTTTTCGTACTTATCTGTGTAAAATAATTCTTTGCATTCCATTTTTTGTTGCTTTATTTTATTAATAAAAGCGTGTTCTAAACTGCCCTCAGTTTGCACACATACATCAACGGCTCTTTTGGGCCCTATCTTGCTTAATTCTAACTCCGCGAAAGAAGAAATTCGCTTTGGTGGTAAGTGAAGAACCGCAGAAGTTTCTTCGTGTACATATTTTTTCGGTTGATGCTTTAAGCAAATGCCTAAACATAATTTCCATACTTTTTTGAAAAAGTTCTGCTTGAATTTATCGCTATTATCTATATCTAATTCATCGTCTCCAAAAAAGTGTTCACCATATATTATCTTGGAATCATCATCGTCATCATTTGGACTTCTCATGATGGTCTCTAAATTTAAACTAAAAAAAATCATTATTATTGGTGATTAACATAACTGTTTTGGGAAATATTAGCTAGGATGGATTAATAGATATATTAATTCTGCAACACAATTAATGGCTAATTTTACGAATTTTATCGAATTTAATATTAACTTTTTTTATTTCCCAACATTTCGGGTATTTCAAAATAAAATAAAAAAGTTAACAAAAAGTGAAGTGACAACATCCATGGTCACGGGGGCGCTTAACTTTATTAATTCCCGAAACGTTGGGAATTAAAATCCGTAAAATTAGTTTAATTCCATGTGTAGTATTAGCGTAAATGTAAGAAAAATCATTATAGCACAAATGTCGTTCAAGTTATGTAATTCTTAGTGTAATTTGTAGTATTACGGAACGGTTTTGGGATGGTTATTGTATGATTATGAAGTTACAGTTTAAAGCTCAAGAATATCATTATGTGAACATAATCTGCTTCTAACTACTAATTGGAAAGAGATCGCCTTAAGCAGCATTATTTAAGAAAATTTAGTTGCATTAGGAACATCGTGCACCTTTGACGCTGCTCCGCATGCTTCCAATCAACGGCTCCGTGGCGCAGTGGCTTAGCAATCAGTTGTTGCGCCGGGGGCCGCGGGTTCGAATCCCACACGGAAAAGGTATTTGTATGGCCTACAAATAATTGTTCCGGGTCTGGATGTTTGTCCTTGTGCAATTTATGTTTGTAAACTGCCTCCACGACACAGGAGAAAATCCTAGTGTGGGGGTAACGTTTTTTAAAAAAAGGAAAAAAAATTATGTATTTGGTATCGGGCATGTACCAGATATCGTACCGCCGACTATCGGAAGCCATAAGATGTATCTATCCTATATTTTCCGTGATCGCCTGTTATGACACCCATTGACGGCTCCGTGGCGCAGTGGCTTAGCAATGAGTTGTTGCGTTGGGGGCCGCGGGTTCGAATCCCGCACGAAACAAGTATTTGTATGGCCTACAAATAATTGTTCCGGGTCTGTATGTGTGTCCTTGTGCAATTTGTGTCTGTAAACTGCCTCCACGATACAGGAGAAAATCCTAGTGTGACGTTTTTGATAAAAAAGAAATAAAAAATAAGAGAAAAAAAAACATACGACAAATAGGTTCTATATAAGTATTATTAGATTTTAACTTATCATATTTTCAACTAAAGTTTGAAAAACAGGTGTCCAAGAGTATGCGCAAAGACAGGTGCACTCGCTATTCCCTCACTTTCAGTCCGATGAGACGACAAACCGACACGACCGGAAAGAGAAATTCAAGAAATACTCACGAGAATCTCTTCACAGATAAAGATCCCGGGACCTCATGATAAACAGTCGCATCCACGACTACTAGACTAATGAGGCAGTTAAACGATATAATAACCAACGATTTACATAACCAAGCGCTCGCCCTGAGACGATAAAGCTATAAAAGTTTCGAGGAATAAAGACATCGAAGATTAACGACGATCATATCAGCCTAGAAACATCTCGCAGCTGGGAATAGGGCTCATATTGTTGGGAGTGTTTTTACGAGGCAGTCTACCGCGCTGTTCCATTGCCTCAGCGTACTTACATGTTCTTGAAATATTGTTTTTTATTTCCCGGACGTATAGATTGCACTGATGTGTACGTAATATATCAGATGTAATAATGCAATTCATAATACTAATCGCTCCGGCACGGGGCAGAACTTAAGTTTTTTTTTATATTTACTGCTCCCGTTCTAATACATCTTGTACTTATATAAAAAAATAACTTACACATTTTCAGATCGATCGGTGTAGACGAAAAAAGCTTCAGAAACTCGTGGCACGCAGCGTTTTAACCAATAATGAACGGTGTATAGCAGAGTGAGTAGTACGGCAAGAAATGTACATGTAGCAAGGTACACGTTGTGCTGGAGACCGGAGGGTTCTCCGCACATCAGGCGGTCTTCGTCGTAAATATCTAAAAAAACATGAGTAAAACTTACGTTGAGATATCAAAAACTTAATAAATTTTATGAATTTAAATCTAAACTGGTTACTGATTTATCCTACTTACTCCCATTCCTTGAGTGATTGTACTAATTTATTATTAATTTTCAATTATTTCAAAAAATCTACAAACTTGGAAGACTTTGGCATAAACGGGAAAATAAAGTTTTATTAGTGTCAACTCAGGGAAATGTCAAAAATTCGTAAGCAAACGACAGATGTGAGCGATCAGACAGAAATTGGCAGAACTAAAATACCCAGGCTTAAGTCGGTGAGCAACAACGCCTTAAGAAGTGTGACCTGCTGTGATCACTAAATCATCAGCTAAGCATGACAAGGTATGTGATGATGATAACTTTTTTAAATAAAAGGAATACTAGTAACGTTATTAATATTATTTTTAGTACCGTCAACTACTGCAAGTAAACTTAATAAGCTTGTTTTAGGAGTAGTTCACGAGTCACGACCATAGTCGAATGGTGGATTTGAACCCAAGATTTTTTTTAAAGTTTGCAGTCCTTATCCTTAACCATAAGGCTACTGTCGCTTATATATATAATAATTTAAAATTCGTTGCGACCAAAATGGTAGAGCTAATGGTTTTACTTAAATTACGAAAAAAGTGAATTCTGCGTTTGCAAGGCGTCATGCAGCCCAAGCTAAATCAAATATCTCAAAATACATCCGTACAGTCATGAAGAAATTGAGGATTTACTACATTAAATTATTTGATAAAGAGTACACATACACACACAAACACACACACACACACACACACACACACACACACACATACACACGCACGCACACATAAGAGCGCGCACGCTCACACACACACACACACACCAAACGTAAAATGTGATTTAAAAAAAATGTAAGAAAAAATATTGGTAGTAAGTTTATAATAGAATAAGGCTATGGTAGCATGTGGCCTTATGGCACAAGTATTTTAAATACTTAAAAGGAGGTCTCAACTACAAATAACAGTGTATCAATTTACAATGTCCTTATTACGAGGTACCCAATAAATATTATTAAAAATATTTAAAATGGTAGAGCTGCTGCAAGAATGGGTGGTTCGACCTGGCAAGGACTCTTCCTTCTCACAGAATAACAGTATTAAATAACATAATGCTGCTGTGTTTCATAATATGGTGAGAGTGAGAGACCAGAACTGGTGAAACTCCTTACTCGTAACTTCATCTTAGTCTTCAGGGGTAACAACCATCTGCATTATTCTTAGTTGAGGATGGATATGGGGGTGCACTGACCACAGCAACCACTTACCATCAGGTGTATTGTATGCTCATTTAAACACTTTTATAAAATAAAAGCTATATTTAATTTAGACATGTCTGTGAAAAATTGTCTTTCTAGCATTAAGAATTTTCTTTATTACAAAATATTCGTATTCATTAAAAATAGTATTAAGTACTTCAAGACTGGAAATTAAAGGAATGAAAGACGATTTATTTAAAAAAAAAATAAAGACATAGAATGGCCTACCGTAAGCTCCACAGTTGGGCACTCCGTCGCAAGCGCTCAGAGCGTCGATGCAAACACGAACGCCAGATATTTGACACTCGAGATTGGCTGCTGGACAGTTTCTTTCTTTGCGTCTCACGGTACGTGCTGGTGTCATTATTAACGTCATTTGTTCTAACTATAACGAGATGAAATAATTATTTCGAAAACAATGGGTATGGTCTGGATATGGTACCATTCAATCTGTTCATGCTCTTAACTTTTTATTGAGTGTTTGCAAGTTCAAGTTTTCTTTACTAGCTAGATAATTAAACAACATGGGAATTGAACGCGCGTACGCATCCAGCAGCGATTTTACTCGGCCACTGAGACCTCAAAACGTGAAGATGAATATTGTGATTTGGACTTTAGAAAATTGTACCTGTTGTAACAACTTTATATGAGAAGTTAGTAACTTAGTCATTATACTCTACACAAGTCTCATTAGAAACATAATATAATGCAATTCATCTGTAATGTGTATATTTCGGTAATCATGTTTAAAATATATGTTGTTGTTTATACTGATAATAATTTTATATTTTGGAACGAAGTTCCTTATCGGACGGTACCAATTTGGCGAGAAAAGTATAAGATTTTTCAGAAAGGAACGTCGTTCCAACCAAGTTTTCAAAGACACTCAAGTTTTCTTATATTTAGACATTTCATAAATCTGAAGTAACTTAGCTACATCAATAGGTACTAAGACATAACAACGTAGCTCGATGGAAGCACAAGATAAGTACCGTAAAATGGGGTGAATAGACACAAGTCTGGTTATTTGATAAAGTTGTCTCTAGGTTTTTCTACAGCTCGGGAACGTCTGTTTATTACTACTGTTTATTATTTGTCAACATTTTTACTTTATTTTGGTAACTTTTAAATAAGTGTCAATTTTGATGACAGTAAAAAAAGGGCGGTTATTATAAACGTGTGAGTACAAGTGGTTTTATGCTGTGTAAAACTTTTAGTTAAACATCACGTTCTTCAGTATTTCCTTGTTGTTATTTTTTTAATGAGTTGAGTTTCTCATCTATTATTAATAAAAATATGAATATCGATATTGAACGATTTTATTATTTTAAATAGTAAAATCAGGATACTTGTATTTTTTATCGAATTCGAGGTGAATAGATACGACTGAGGCGTGAATAAAAACGCCTTTGGGGTTAATAGAAACGAAGAAAGGGGTGACTAGATACGAATGAGGGCTTATGAGAAACATAAAAAGGGTTAATGATTTTTAGAGTTGTCAAAAAGTATTTGCACCATTTACTTACTACATAAATTAATTTAAGTAGCTAATTGAAACTAAAATTAAAAAAAAGTTTAAACCATATTAAAGGTATTTAAAAGTCTTCTGTTATAAATGTTAAATTTTGATTTAACTTTTATTTGGAATTTTAATGTAAATTTTATTATACATTAAAATTCCAAATACTTGAGGTTTTACCTTACACCAGATAGAAGTTCCTACAGTAAATATACTTAGTGTGCTCATATGATTTAGTACTATCTAGTAGGTAAATATATCATTCATTATAATTGTATTAATTTTTTTTTAAATTTATTATTTAACAGAGACGCTCGGTATACGAGTTAAAAAAGTATCTTAGCGGTGAGGAATAGGTGTGACGCGAGTTATCAGCTTCAAGTCCCCATGTATGTAAATTTACATTTATGTTTAGTACGTACATAATTTTCATTACCCCGTGTAGTGGCGGGAAAGAATACTCACTACCCTATGTCTTTCCGTGGGTGTCGTAAGAGACGACAGAGGGAAACTGAGGCGGAGGATGGGCAGCAGCATCTTTCTGATAATAGCAAAACAGCAATAAAAAAAACTGCGGTTGTCAACCCGCTCGCCAAGCGTGGCAACTATGGCAATATACCCCCATGAGAGTAACGAAGAGACGGCTCCCAGTCCTCGGCGGGCCCGCTATTCCTGGCTACGGTGGCGACCATGGTAACGGCGGGGCAGGGGGTGCTAAGAATCTCCGGTGGAGATTCGGTTGCCACCTACGATGAATCGACATGGCAACTTATAACGCACGCACCCTGAGAACTGACTAGAAGATCCTGGAGCTAGAAGAAGAGATAGACAAGTTGCGCTGAAATATCATAGGATTATCCGAGGTCCGAAGAGAGGGGGAGGATACGGTAATCCTCAAATCCGGCAACTTGTTCTATCACCGGAAGGACGACCATCTGTTCCAAGGAGGTGTCGGATTTATCGTCCACAAGTCTCTCGTTAACAACGTTATAAAGATTGGAAGTGTTTCAACGAGGGTTGCGTACCTTATACTCAGAATCACCAAACGGTATTCGCTGAAGGTCAACCTCGGCACACCCCGATGAGGAGGTGGAGGAAATGTATGAAGATATCTCTAGAGCCATGCATTCCTCCAAAACTCACTATACGGTGTTAATGGGAGACTTTAATGCAAAACTAGGCACAAGAGAGAACGGTGAACTGAAAGTAGAGAAATTCGGAATAGGGCAACGGAACCGAAGGGGCCAGCAGCTGACCGACTTCATGGAGAAAGAGGGACTCTTTATGATAAACTCTTTCTTTCAGAAGCGGCACCACAGGAAGTGGACCTGGTAGAGCCCCGACGATTCGACAAAAAATGAGATTGACTTCATTATGACGACCAGACGACAACTGTTCAGTGATGTCTCAGTGATCGCGAGGGTGAAATCCAGCAGCGATCACCGAATGGTGAGAGGCGCACTGAACCTAAACGTTAAGTTGGAGAGGTCACGTCTAATGAAATCAACGCTCCGTCCCCCTCGTGCTCTAATCCAAAGTCCCAAAACCTTTCAGCTCGAGCTACAAAACCGTTTTCAATGCCTAGAAGATTGCAATGTAGGGGACGATATGAATGACAAGCTCGTGGAAACTGTCCATGCGGTCGGAGCTAAGTTTTGCAAGACCCGCCGCAGAAGAACTCTCTCACCGATCACACTCTTAATCTCATGGCTGTTAGACGGGATATAAAGATGCAATCTTCAGTAGATTTGACACCATACAGGCAGCTGAACAGACAGATCTCCAAATGCATGCGGCGAGACTTACGCAACTTTAATACTGCTCGTATTGAAGAAGCGATCGAGCGGAACCAGGGCTCCAAAGTCTTAGAGATCTGTCTGCCAGAAAGAGCTAACTGTCGAAGCTGAAGTGTGGCAACCACAACAACAACTGTGGAACCGAGTGTGGCTGCGTCATTTCCGGGACACCTTAGATTTTGAGTGAGATTGAGAGGTTCTATGGGCAGCTGTACACATCATCGTTGGAGCCACATGCAAGTGTGATTAACGATCCAAGAGCGAGTCTTATCCGACATTATTCCGATGATATCCTGGACGTCAGTCTCAGCGAGATTAGAATGGCTCTCCAACACCTTAAAAACGGCAAGTCCCCGGGCGAGGATGGAATTACAGCGGAGCTTTTGAAAGCGGGTGGAAAACCGGTACTTGAAGTCCTTCAGAACCTCTTTAATTCCGTCCTTCATGGTGGCATTACACCGGAGGCGTGGAGCAGAAGTGCGGTGGTCTTGTTCTTCAAGAAAGGCGACAATGCTCTTGTTCACGCCCTGAGTTGCCCCAACAAAGGTGGACTGGACTAGGGCCTATCAGTAATCCAATCGACGGGCAACAGAGGACAGAGCCCAACGGCCTATGGATAAATGTACAAAAAAACGGCTGACAAATAAGCAAGCACTTACCTATTTCAAGGGGTAGGGTTGACCACAGGGTACCAGTCAGGTGATAGGTGAGGTGCATGTAAGTAGTGTGTAGTAGTGTTTATATATGTGACCTGACGGCCCGATTTAATTGGACAGAAAATCCACCGGAGCTGATGTTCTCCCAATGCGCGCTCCTTCCAGTCGTGGATCACACATGGAAAATTTCTGCCTTCATTTCACTATTTCAGTCTATCAACTTTATTGTACATATAATTAACTTCAAAGTCAACCAATTCAACGTTCATCGAAATCAAACACGTGACACCCGACACAAGTAACGAACAGTCGTTCAAAGTTCAAAACCCTTTTTCACTTAGCAACAAAATTATAACCACACGTACGAACGCGGTCTCTTCTCGAGTCACAAAGCTCAGCGTTCCAAACAACAAACTAAATTCCTTCGTACGATATTACATACCACGTCCGCAATCAGAACTCAAAATTCGCCTCGTTGACACGTAAAAATAGAAAACAGTTGACACACAAAATGCACTTAACGCGACGTTACAAATCATCATTAACCTCCAAAAAAAAAAACAACTAACCGGGCCACGCCCTCGAAATGGAATGCGAGCATCAAATTCCAGACCGTATGTCCACTCGGCGTGCGCGCAAGGTTCCACGTCACACAAGCAAGTTAAATATTGCAAAATGCACTTCAACATGCAATCACTATACAATTGACGTAATTACTTGCAAACGAAATTACTTTAATCAGTCAAATTCAATATAAGCCTCTTGTCACGAAACGTACAACTTAGACAAACTAATTCGAGGCGGTCTACACGAAGCCCAAATTCAATAGTAAATTAACGCGCACAAATACTCAAATTATAGACCATCAAAACCAAAAACCTGGCCGCGCGAAACCGATGTAGCGGTCACAAAAATACGCTAATGATCAGCCCACCGGCCGGAATCCGGCACACGACCCCCCCCCCCCGGCGGCGTTTACCTCACCTCGACACCATCGGGTAATGCACCGAGTCAAACGCGATTGGATGCCGTTTTTAAATATGCCCATGTTTGGGCCTAAACAGTTCTCTTGAAGAACTACAGACTGATTTCCTTTCTGAGCGTCTACGTGCTGTTTGTTTACGTTCGAGGAGTACAATTTGCCACTATGTCTGGCGTAGGTGGACTATGAGAAAGCCTTTAATTCCGTCGAAATTTGGGCGGTGCTGCAGTCCCTTCAGCGGTGCCAAGTTGACTGCCGGTATATTGAAGTACTGGAGTGTTTGTAAAGTAGTAGGTAAGTAGGGCTACGAAGACTATCCGAGTACAGAACCAGAGTACGAAACCTATCCAATTGCAGAGAGGTGTAAGACAGGGTGACGTTATATCCCCGAAACCCTTCACCGCTGAATTG